ATAGACTCCATCTCGAGGTCGGATTTTTTCCTATCCTGCGAAACACGACGCTGAAATCACGCCATCCTCAAAAACAAGCCTCCAAACTTTATGTCCCGTTTTATCGTTAACCTTTCCGGTTTGCAGCAGTCTGTTGTCAGAAGCACATTCAATGCAAATAGGAACGGGGTTGGTTTTGTGGTTAAATACATCTCCAGGTGGCCTTAGTCCCATTTTTGTTGTTGTTAATTATTTTTTTTAACAGTTATAACATGTCTAATGGAACAGTCTTTTGGTTTGCTCCCTACAGCAGAGGGCATATTTGGGCTCCAGTCTTCCAAAACTGAACATGCATGCTTTGTAGCAAGTCAATACCGTGGTTTAATTGATTTATCCTCTCTTCACTTGTAAAGTTAAGCTCAGGAGTAAGTTTGAAGCCATTCCTAAAAGAGCGGAGATGCTTTTTCATGCTATTGCTGGGGTTATCTTCCATCTTTCAATGTTCAAGGGGACAGGAGTGCTAATACATACATTTCACACGCGTGTGTTTTGTCCTACTGGATGCTTTGCTACGAACACAGTCGGGGCCCACATCTGCCATTAGAAAGTGTGATCGATCAACCCTGCGCAATACGTCTTTCAAAAAAATAGGCCCCAATCCCACGGTCCTCACTCACTATTTCAGCGGCAGTTTTGCCTGAGCCAGGGCTGCAGGGTCAGGCCCTCCTTATATCTGTTCGAATAAATTCAGAGTCACCCGTTTGTTGATATTTTCTCTCAAACACACGAGGCATATAGGGCAGCTGACTACAACCGTCTTTCTTTCTGCCCACGCCAAGCAAATGACAGTACAAACAACCTGCTTTTCATTTGAGAGCTGGAATAAAGAGCGGGGGATTTTGGAACCCTTGGCCAATTGCTTGTGCCACTTAGGGACGCATGATAATGATGCGAAAGTGCCCCCGCTTATAGGGTACCACGGCATTCCCAGCCCGAAACACCCTTCTCGTTTGCCTGAAAGGATGCAAACACACCCAGGCTTTTAAAAACATAACGAGACCCTTTCCCGTAACAGGAGCGCTCCGCCACGCCGCAAACACCGAAGCGCCTGCTTTGCTCTCATAAGCCGCCTCGATGCCTTCGGCGTGCCCGTAACGCCTCTCACGGGTGACTCAGATAAGGACAGCTTGGCACCTGGGCTTATCGTGAAGTGCGTTTTTATTGGGGACTCTTTGATTACCTCCCTAAACCAGTCATTGGAGGCAAGGGTTTTCCGCTAGAAAGCTGGCAGTTTCTGGCCAGGGCTGGTGAGGCCTACGCGAGGCCATCACCTCACAGCCTAAAAAACGCTCCACAGCTCGGACCGTTCGGGGCGGGGGGGCTATTTCCGTCTCCGGTTATTAGGAGCGGGGGGAGGGGTACAGCCCCGGTGCTGAGGTAGCTCTGAGTCTTGGCGGGGTGTCCCTGCGCTGGGCGGGGCGGGG